CTCTACAGTATTTAGCAGCCACGACTGTATTTCTAGTACTTGGTTTATCTACAGCAGGCCTCTGTATCTCAGTGATGTCACACTGTGGGTACTTTTCTGGGAGTCACTGTTTTAATTCAACATCTTGAGCATCTTCAAGCCTCTCCCTCACTGAAACCATGGACACGCACTGCATACTCTAGATGCTGCAGCATCTGTTTCTGTTGGAACCTGGAGCACTTGCACTTGGGCCAAGGGTTGTTGTTGTGTGTTTTCTGTGAGCTAGTTACTCATTTCCCTCAGAACTGTACCTGTGGGAAATGCATGAGTCGGAGATGAAGGTTTCTCCAGAAAATATTTACTTTGCTTCTTACAACAAAAGGAAAACTACAATTTATGGGTTTCTTATACTCCACTCTCAGATTTCCAACTGAAATCTGAATAAAAGCTTGGTTTTAACTATAAATTCTAGCATATTTGTTTTGTCTCAAATTCAGGACTACAGCTGTTTCCAGGGACTGAGAAGGCCAGTGGGAACTTATGCTTAGGTTATGGCTCTATTGAGAGTAGCTCAACTTCACTGAAAGGATCTGCATTAGACTTCGCTCCAGCCAAGCCCCAGGATATTCATTCTGACCCTTTACTCTAAGGCTGAGAATGTTAAGTCAACCTTCCCTAACTAGACAAGTACCTCAGGCAAGCTTCTGGTCCACTTACCTTTTTGAGTTCCTACTCACTTTTCCCTGGGCTGAGCCCCTTTTACAATTCATATTAGGCAAGAAGTACATTAAATTTACTTTGCTTTTTAGTATTTCATCAGGCATTCTTGATTTCTCAGTAAGAGGGTCGATCCATCCTCCTAGTACCCAGTGCTACAAGTGGCACTGAATCTCTTCTCTACACTATGTGTGCATGCACATGCACATGCACATGCACATGTGTAAGGGGTTATGGTTTTGGTTGAAATGTATACACACAGTCTCAAACTGAAAGGGCAGAAAGGATAGCTGGAAAGCAGGGTCCCTTTTCTGTTGGAACTCATTTCCAGAGCCAATGACAATATCATTTTAAGTAAGTGACTTGATAAAAAATGTTAAACAAAAATCACAATATACTTTCAGTACAAATTATGAATGATGTCAACCCAGCTGTTAGTGTTGGAAACAGAATACTTCAGCAGTGTCTATTTCAAGTAGAACTCCCATACTCGAGGACTGGAATAGGAACCATAAAAAGACATAACAAAAGTATTTTTAAAAATCTTTATCTTTCAGATGCAAAGCACTGAATATGAAAAGGAGATATTTTAATAGTAAAACCCATAATCTATAATGAATATATATTTGTGTTTTTAGAGCTATTATCTTTCTGGAACAAAGAGTAGATAGAAAAGATAGTCACATGGGCACACAGCAGCACAGATTTTACTGCAGCACTGTTAGAATAAGGAAGACCAGGAAGGGAAAAAGAAGAGAAGATGACAGAGAGAACCTAGAGATATTACCACCAGAACTACAAATGCAACAGTGCCCAGATAGCACTTCTCACTCGCCACTGGCACAAATTAAAAAAAAAAAATGGCAATACACTGTGTTTGGGGGTATGTGTGATCCACCACAGTGTGGATGAGAATGACATCAGTACAATGAAAAGAAGCAATAATGTCTGAACCTCAGTGGATTATGAAACCATCTAATCTACAGCAGAAAGAATTATATATAAATCCAGTTGGTAAATTGGTTTTAACAGAGATATGAGATAATTCTGAAACTATGTACTAGAATTGAACAAACAAGTAAATATTTTCAGATAATGAAAACTAGGCTTCTTACTGATTGAGAAATTACAAATTAAGCAAAGGGGAATGCTAAAATGAACCCTGCAGCATTAAATTAAAACTAGCAGTATTAGATCAATTCTAATGTATCATGATTTTATTATATACATAATACATACAGAAATATAAAAGTGTATGTCTATGTGGGTGTTGTATAACAGTTTCCTCCAGGATTAATACATTCTACCCTGTGGGAAGCTCCTTAAGCAGTAGGCAAACAACTCAAAATAGCTCCAGGAAGTTCCTGAAACTGACCAGATTCACTAGAGTGAGTAATAAAAGCTAAAAGTTCTCCTTTGACTGAAGGAAGCTGAGCTTCAAAGACTCTTAGACAAGCCAAACTTCAAAGAAGACTCTGAGATCAGACCAGCTGCCTGGAAGAAGCAGAAACCAGCTGAGTTATCTTGAAGAGGTTTAGACAAACTGAGTCATCTGGAAAGGACTCTCTCCAGCTTGTTGTGCTGCCTGTAGGCTGTGCAGTGAGCTCCAGGTTTTCCAGCTTTTGTGAGATGTCACCCATGTTAGGGTGGGCTTTGGTGATACAGTTGTCTTTGAGCCACTCCTGCTCCAGTAAGTAACCAAGTAACCTCTCATCTATTAAGTAACTCCAATAAAATTCACTGATTCAATAAGGTGGACTTTGGCCTGTTGTGGGTTTCCTATCTGGGGTGTGTGTGTGTGTGTGTGTGTGTGTGTGTGTATGTATTTTTTTCTGGTATACATATATATATGAGTATTTTTTCCTCCCAGGAAAGTTTTGCCACACAACAGTGGGAAACTAGGATGTATATGTATATACATGCACATATATATATATATATATATATATATATATACATCCTAGTGTATATATGTGTATATATGCATATATACATATATATCCTAGTACTCTCTGTGAGAGGCCCAAACATAATCCCTGTGGTACAGACTATAACAAGGACACTACCCACAATCCCCATCTACTGGCATTCATGCCTTTATATAAGTCCTTCCAGGTGATTATGGACAGGAACAGTGATTTGTGTCTAACAAAGTGACAAGGATTGAAAGGCCACCTCACTTTTGAGAGCACATTTCACTATAAAACACTATCTTGCTAAAGGGTTTTGCTGTAGAGTCTTTCTATAGCTGGCTTTGAGCAAGTGGCCTTGTTGGGAGGGAAGCCCATGTAGCATGGAGGTGAAAACAGTCGACAGCCAATATCAAGATGCTGAAGTCCTCTTCTACTGTCATGAGGAAATTCTACCAATAGCGTCTATGAGCAGAGCCTCCAGATAAGAACTCTCTGGCACTCGGATCACAGTATTAAGAGACCCTACTCTGAACATCAATTAAGCCATGCCTATATTCTGAAAAAGAATAATCTGGTTGCTAAACACAATTTTACAATAAAGAAAATCAGAATTCCTAAGAAATGTCTGATTCTAGGACCAGGACAGGGAAAGTATGATGATGAAACTGGAACATCTGTGGTGTCAGAAAGTAATGAAATGGTCAAGAGTATGACGTCTTGTTAAAGGAAATCAGAAGCTATTCTGAAGGGGCTCCCAATACCAAAGGTGGAATCACTTAAAGATGGACCATACTGGGTTTCAAGGAGACTATAATGTGGGGCTATTAGTTCACAGAAGTATTTCCTCACAGAAGCAAAATGTCAGTAATAGTCTCACACATTACACAGGTATTGGTTTTAAGCAAAATCTACTAATACTAAAATCACTAAACAAAATTTTGACACACAGGATGTACAGACTCAAAGAATCTCTCCCAATCCTTAAGGAAAAGATAAAAATTTCACGTTGCAGAAACCCAGCAGATTTCAACAGTAGCTAAGAGATCAAGGTTAACCCTATCATGGTATAGGAACAGACTAATATAATAAAACCTTGATATGATGCTAGGACATATCTTTCATGTGGAACTCATCCAAAAAAGTATAACTATAGTATGATCATGAGGGGGAAAAAGGTAAAAATATCCCCAAATCTCAATTTGTGGATATTCTACAAATTAACTAACTGACTGGTAATCTTCAGGATGCCATAAGAGAAAAAGGAGTAAGAAATGATACAGGTACGATGAGGTTAAAGAGAAGCAAAAGCTAAACACAACACAGGGCTCTCGTTAGTACTCTAAAGCAGACAATGTCCAACAGTGGTATACAGTTGGCCAGTTAGAAGGAAACAATGCAAACAGTCATTGAAGTGATTTTATCGCAATTAGGAAAATTTGAATAGATCAGTCATTAAAGGACTGTAAGAATTTATTGATAGTTTTGTGAACTAGAGCCTCATGCATGCAGGGCAAACTACATCTTGAGCTATAATCCCAGTCCTAATGTGGTAAACTTTGTTAAGAAATCTGTGTGTGCGCGCGTGTGTGTGCATGAGTGAGAGAGTAGAGGCCAAATGTCACTGTCCAGATGTTTTCTTCAGTTGATTCTCTCTGAGATAGAGTCTCTCACTGAGTGGAACTTTCAGATCTGACTAGACTGACCAGCGAGCTCCAGGGACCCTACTGTCTCTCCCTTCCCAGTGCTGGGTTTCCAGGCTCACACTGCTGTGCCTGACCTTTACATGACTTATGGGTCTGTGCACAGGGCCTCATGCTTGTTCAAGTGCTTTACTGATGAAGCTATTTCTCCAGAACCAGAAAAATCTTATTCTTTAAAGATACGTATAGAAGTGTTTTATGAATGATATCACTCAGTATTAGAAATTTGCTTTAAAAGTACAACAGCTGAATAAAATAGAACACAATGTTAATAATTATAGAACCTGAGGAACAGGTAAATTGGGAGAGGGCTAGAAGTCTTTCTTCACTACTATATATCTGCAGTTAAAAAAAAATTTTTTTTAATTGTTATTCTTTGGGACCAAAGCACACTGACTTCTAGGAAGCAATGCAGGAAATAAATGTCTGTGATAGCTCTGAAAACGGTGGTTGGTAAACTGTATCCAACAAGTTAAAAAACTATAGCTACCAACTAAAGTTTTTAAAATAACAGTAAGACAGAAATTAAATGAAGCTAAATTAATTTAAAACTAGAGAAAAAAAACAAAAAACAAGGGCTCATTTTCACTTCATCTCTACTAGATTCATAGTGTGTAACAGATTCATATGAGTCAGTGATATTCAGGAATGTTCAAATACTAATCCAGGCAAACCATTCCTCAAAAGCACATTAACAGCACTGCAACACTTGCCTTCTAAGGCTTGGCTCTGTCAGGTTGACAGGGGTGCACTGTCTTTTCCTTCTCATCGGGTATGAAGACTGCCCTTCTGACTCATTCTCAGGGTTAGCAGTGTTACTTGAAACACAACTGGTATCCATCAAGACCAGGGATGTTCTGTTACCTAAAAAGAACATTTTCACAAATATTTGTACAAGCATGTGTAAAGATATGGAAATAAGTATGAAGTCAATACAGTTTACCAGTCAAAGAGATCAAATTTTAAAACTTAAAAAATTCAATTTTGAGAGAAAAAGGAGCTAAAATGTAAAATAAACCAATTGTAAGACATTACTTAGGGTTTTCATTGCTGTGATAATGACTGTGATCATAAGCAATCTGGAGAGGAAAGGGTTTTCTTCACTCCCAGTTCCACAGCACAGTCCATCACTGAAGGAAATCAAGGCAGGAACTTGGAGGCAGGAGCTGATGCAGGGGCCATGGAGGGATGCTGCTTACTGACTTGCTGCTTCCCATGACTTGCTCAGTACTGCTTTCTTATAGAATCCAGGACCAGTGGCCAAAGGATGGCTCCAATCACTAATCTGGAAAATGCTTTACAGTTTTGCCTATAGGAGGCATTTCTCAACAATTTCCCCACAATTGATTCTAGCTTGTGTCAAGCAGGCATAAAACTATCTAGGACATCAATAAAGTCTTCAATGTTTTGTCTCTGAAATCACAAAAGCTCTTTATGGCTCAACGCTTCATAACCTACAGCAATCTCTGTACACTCATTCAGAACATACACATCTGGTTACTCAGTGTGTCAAAGTCACCACATGAGACAGGCAAAGGTGACTGACTGTTCTAACATACCTACTACTCAGACTTTTGGAATCCTTCTGCTTTGAGTCCCTTTTATCTAGACTAGCCTTAGTGTCAAAATTCTAGTGTCCTATAGACACACTGAGATGTTGGTTCCAAGTAGAAAAACTATGTAAGACGGTCTCATGTTATAAATTTTCTAATGACAAAGGAAATCCCATGACTGAACACTGAGGAATAAATGAAAGAATTAGTAGTATAAAAATACTATTTCAAGAATGTGCTTAAAGATTCACAGATTCAAGTCCATGTACATAAGGTAAATAGTGATTGCCATTTTAGTGGGTTTTCTCCTGATTTTGATTTATAATAGTTATTTTAATAATCAGTTAAACAAAAGTAAACACCAATGCTAAAAATCTTGCTTATCCATTAGTCTAAAATGCTACCTACTTGCTATCTTTGCAATTTCCTCTAACCAAAATTTCTCACTATACACCCTTAGCTTAGTGTCTGCTTTTAAAACCATTTACCACATACTGTATCTGTTAACCTTTATTTATCTGATCCCCTAAAATGTAAGCTGCCGGACTGAGCCCCACTCTTAGAAAACTTGTCTTCAGTAGAATAAATTCAATACATTTCCCTAAACATGGATTTAAAACATTTACTTTCCTCCAAACACATGAAGAGAGGCCTTATCTGCCTAAAGCCAATTAGACAGTAAAGCCTTACTGAAGTTTTATATTTCAAATGCCCAAGATAATCTGTTACCTTCTCAATGTACAAACTTTCACTTCTGTTTGTATAGATGATGATATTAATACTATTTTAAAATTTTCACAAAAGTGACAGTTTCAACAGAAGATAAACCACTGATTAAGTGAAAAGAATACAATTCTAAAACTCTGGCCTACCTGGCCTCGACTTTTGTGTTCTGTGGTGGGGATTATGAGTGCCTTCCTTTATCTTTTCATGAGCATCATCACCTACTTGAAAGATGCATGTACTCTCCAGGGAAGATCTCTCTTCTAGCATCAGGGTTTTACTAGAAGAAATACTCAAAGGTAGAGAACTTTTACACATACTATCCAAGGAAGAATTCTTTATGTTAGATGAACACGTCTGAGATAAAGGTTTCAACACCTTTGTGTAAAAATCTGGCTTACTCTTGGCCATTTTCTCATTCTCCAAATAGTTCTCCTTGTCAGTCTGCTGGGAGTCAACAGCCTTAGCGAGGTCAGTGTTGGGTGTTACCTCCACTGTTCCATGGGTATCAGAACAACCCAGAAGGGTCTTTCTTTTCTTTGATTTGGGTGCCATTTTATTGACTGCTTTGGCTGGGAGGCTTCCTTCTTTTACTGCGCTCACAGAGAAGGCATCTCCCAGTGAACTTACAGTGCTTTGTTTCTGCTTCTTTGGCAGGTTAGTCTGTTCTCCAGGACCAGAATCTGCTTCATTTGGTCCGTGTTTTAAGCCAGAGTCTAAGGTGACAGACACCTGTGAAGAATCTGTTAACTGCAAAATACACCTGTTCTTATCTCTTGTCAAACTGTTCCCTGTTTTATATGATACCTTTTTCTTTGTTTTTGTAACTAGTATGCAAGGATCTTGAATTGGATCACAATTTTCCTTTTTATTACTGTTGATTTCCCCAAAGTCACAACTTAAAACATCTTGGCAATCTTTGATAGAGCTTTTAAAGCCATTCCCATCTTCATTAATAGGCTCATATATTTGGTTCAACTGAGAAATGATTTCTGATATATTAACCTTATGACAGAGCTTCTTATTCAATGGGTCATGTGCACTTCCTCCATCATTTTCATGTATTTGGTTGATTTTAGAAATTATTTCTGTCTTTCGATTTACCTTTTGTCTAAGCTTCTTATCTACTTTTGAATCTTCTCGACAAGCATGTTGCATATTAGGGTCATGTTTTTTCAACTCCAAGAGTGTTTCTGTCTTATAATCACATGACTTTGCACTATCTTTGTTACAAAAAGCAGGTGTATCAAACTCACTTAAGTCTTTTAAGGTTCCAGGGATGTCTTTATCCTTTTGTAGCAAGAAAGACTTATCATTTTCTGAACAATGAACACCTCTGTCATTACTAAAACAATTCACTCCAGAAATTATTTCTGTCTTGCGATTTACCTTCTGCCTAGGGTTTTTGCTAATCTGGGACTCATTCTGAGCAGGGTATATACTAGTAATTTTCTTCTGCAGATCCAGAACATTCTGGATCTTACAGTCACGTAAGCTTCCATTGTCTCTTGTGAAAAGAAGAGGTGTTTCAAATTCTTTTGACGCTTCTAGGTTTCCACTGGTGGTTTCTTTATTCGCTTGGGTTTGGGAGGGAAAGTTGCCTTTTTCTAGGACATGAATATCTTTATCATTATCCTCATGTATTTGGTTCGGGATAGAAATTATTTTTGTCCTTCGATTTATTTTCTGCTTAGTCTTATTTGTTTGATTTTGTTGAGCAGTGACATACTTTTTCAAGTCCAACATTGTCTGAGTTTCATGGTCACGTACATTTTCATTAGCTTTGATGGAAAGATCAGCTACATGAGATTCATTTGCAACTTCTAGGTTTTCAGAAATGGTGTCTTTATCTTCTTGGTTTGGAAGTAAATTATCTTCTTCTGATTTATGAATCACAAATGTCTGTCGAGAAGGCTTACTTAAATTACGATGTAGGGTGTTGTGATACAGATCAAATCTACCATCTTGAAGGAATCTGACTGAATGTCTGGAAAAGGGGTATGTTTCCTCTTGCTCATCTGCCCTGTATGTTTGCCTCCTCTTTTTATTTTGAATGTTTTCCTGATCCAAACTGTTCTGGAGGATTATTTTCTTCTGCATGTTTACCTGAGACAGCTGCTCAGTACTGGAAATACAGTTTGGATCTTTGGAATCCCCTCTGCCATCTAGGACACCAGAGTCTCTTTCTGGTCTGTTTTCAGTCTTTTCCTCAGCACCTACTTCTGAGCTATCTTGACATCTTCTCTTTGAGCTTTCTCTCTTTTTATCAGAGCTTGTATCTTTCACTTTTCTGGAAGTCTCCTTTCTACAATCTGCCTTTTTCTTATTTTGCTTTTTATTGCCTTTTGAAATTGTTACAATCTTGCCGACATCAGTAGCAGTTAACTCCATGTCAGCATCTTCATACACAGTTTTCTGCAAGTGAAAGCTATCAGTGCTCTTCTGTACTTGCTCCGTGCACTTTGCATTAGGATCACTGGAAGACTCAGAAGGTAAATCAGGAAAACACTCTGTATTTCTTTGGGTGTTGTTACTGGTTTCATTAGTACCACCATTTATATCATTATTCCAATTTGATCCTGGACTTGAAATGGGTTGGTGATCTAAATCTGTCACACACAGAATGTCTACAATTGAAGACACACACTTCTTCCTCTTAGTCACATTACCAAGTGATAACTTTTCCCTTCTGAGGCTGGAAGATGAAACAGTTTTCATCTCACTCAGAGAACGCTTAGGACTTTGATCTGAGTGGCAATGGCTCTCTACAAAATAAAGAAAAACAAAAATAAGTAATAATCTACAGTAAACAAAGCAGATACTTAGCTGTTTCACAGAGAGGACTTCTGACAATCTGTTTTTTTCACATCCTTATTCAGAATTCATGCTGATAAAAATTAGTTAGACTAGCTGGAATGCCCACAGGTCACATCTTACATCTGACTCCATAGGAACTGCATGCTACTGAGCATTCACTCAGCCTCGGCCCCAAGATTAGAATGGGCATATACAACAATGGAGCCAGTGATTCCTACTTCTAGAGCTGAAGGAGACCATAAACTCAAATAATAGCAGTAACTCTGGTAGGAGGGATATCTAAGACTGTGGAAAGGAAAAATAGCATGCTCTAAGCTTAACAATTAAGGTTCTGTATTCTAGTCTGTTAATATTTAACAAATACATAAGCACAATAGATTATAGTACAGGATTATCAATAAGGAAGACCATGTAATAAAATTAAGCATCATCATGTTTTCTTACTAAGTCATTACTCAAGTTCATTAGCGCTATGACAATTTTGTTTCTGCTGCTCTGGTAAAATACAGACAATAGCACCTAAGGAGAATGTATTTGGGTCACAGTTCCAGATTACAGTTCATCATTGCAAGGATGTCAAAGTGGCAGGAACTTGAAGCAGATAGCCACATCCAGAGTCATGAGAAGAGAGCAATGAATGATCCAAGCTTGTACTCAGCTTGCCTTTTCTACTCTTAAACAGTTAGGGATCTCCTGTCAAGGAAATGGTACCACCCACAGTGGACAAGTTTTCCCAACTCAATAAAATCCAGGTAATTCTCCAGTCATGCCCACAGGCAAACCTGATCTAGACTCTCATTGAGATTCTTTTTCCAGATGACTCTAGACTATGTCAGCTTAACAACCAAATTTACCATCATAATAACTAATTGGTTATGAGCTTGAAAAAGTCACTATAACCATCTAGATGAACATTTTTCATATCCGTGAAAAGGAGAAGCTGAAACTAAATAAATGTAATGAGATTTTCAAATTACAAACTAAGCAAAATGGAAGCTTAGTCCTGCTCATTTTTGAAGACTGCTTCTAGACTAACAGTATTAGGTGCCCATCGATCTGACATTTGTCAGGATATTTACTTTAAGTTGAAATTTTCACCAGTAGTTTTATATGGTAGAAGTTAGTACAGGTTAGCAATACAAGAGATCTACCTAACTGATAAGCTGTTTAGACATTGTCGCCCTTAAAAAAAGCTACATAAAGTTTTAAAAACAACCTTACCATTAGGAAGTACATCAACACTTGAAGTATGTTCTGAATGACCTGAACCACATGTTTTCTGATTATCTTGTTTAGGAAGGGATACTTCCGAATTATTCTGATGTAAGGATGAAGGTTGTCTTGATTCTGAAGAGGTACTATCAGGTGATGTCTTTGACACAGTTCTGTTGTTACATTTTGTTTTCCATTTATCATCATCATCATCATCATCATCATTTTCTGAAGTCAATGGAACCCTAAAGGCAAGTGAGAATGAAATAAAAAATTCTGTTTTACAAAAATTACATAGCAAGAAAAGGTATCACTATACTTGTACCAATAATCTGACTATTTAGAAAAAATGCAATAATTATTTAAAGAAAAAGTGAAAACTTGATAAGCAGAACATAGGGATTATTAAAGAGGTGGGATAGGGGCTGGAGAGATGGCCTAGCAGACAAGAGCCTGTACTACTCTTCCTGAGGACCTGAATTTGGATCTACCACCCATACTGGGCAGCTCACAACTCCTTTTAACTTCAACTCCGAGAAGACCAGCCTCTAGTCTCCACGAGCATCTGCGCTCACATACATGCACGTGAGTATAAACACACACGCATAATAAAAAATAATAACAAATTTTAAAAAGAAATGACATATTCTCAAAAACCTCTCTGCATGAAGGCTGTAGGTTGAAGTAACTTTTCTTAAGCTCTTAAAGAAAAATAATACCACTTTGTAATATGCTTCCTGAATTAGAAAAGAATGTTTATCAGTCAGCATAACTGAAATTCCTAAACCTGAAAAATAACTGCAACAAAAATTAATAATTATCATTGTAACACATATGCAAAACATCTTAAAGCAACAATAATGATTTTGGGATGGAGGGAAGGAATTTGAAAATAGATCATAGAGAGACATGGCTCAGCAGATAAGGGATTTGCCTTCGAAAGCCTGATGACCTGAGTTCAATCCCTAGAACCCACGTAAAAGTGGAAAGAGACTCCACCAAGTTGTTCTGTGAGCTTCACAGACATGCCATGGATTTGCACCCCCACACACACATCATGTGTATACACCCCATATACATATCATGTGTACACATACACCCACTGACAGTAATAACCAATTCATTGTATTTTATTATATGATTAGAAAAAAATTTAAAATTCATTATACTAATAAAGGAGTATCTTTTCAACAGCAACAATAAAGTACATGATTAATTCAATAGCTATTCATGAAGAAACTGTCAGCAATGAGGTTTTGAGTTTTCTTTTTTCTGAGACACAGTCTTATTGTGCAGAGAAGCTGCTTTTGACCCATTATAATTTGACACTTTAGATTTAAAAATGAGAAATGGAAGGAGTCTTTAAAGAAAAGTTAAAATCCTTGCCAAGAAATAGGAAATATAAATATCCTAACTTTTAGTAAGAGAAATGGGATGTTATCAAAAAGTTTTTGACAAAGAAACCTATAGGCTTAGGACCAGTGAGATGGCCCATTGGGTAAAAGTGATTGCCATACAAGTCTGAGGACCTGAATTTGATCCCTAGAGCCCACAGTGGAAGGAAAGAAATGACCATTAAAGTTGTCCTCTGACCTCTGTACAAGTTCTGTGGTATGCATGCATCTATACTCACACCCACCTACCATACACATCCATGTATACACAATAATAAAGAATGAATGGAAACATACAAACAAACAAACAAACAAACAAACAAACTGTAGGCTTAGATAACTTCTCCCAAGCTTTTAGTTTGCCTTGAGCTTATGATATTTTGTCTCAGCCTGAAACTTTATTAATCTGACAAGATCTAGAAAATCCAAGCATTCACATCATACCTAACAATGGAAGCACAGTAAGAATGTCTGTTCTTATGACTTTTCTAACTTTGAACAAGTAGCTATTGCAATAAAGTAAGAAAAAGGAAAAGATAAATGGCTTGCAAAGGGTAAAGAAAATGGTTCTTATTTACAAATAACAAAAGTATCCAAACTGTTAGAATTAACAAGTTCACTGGAAACAAGGCCAGCATCTGAAAATTAATTGTATTTTTGCAAGCTAGCATCAAGAAGAAAACATAAATTAAGAAATAGCTATATTGAGTGTCCTGAAATATGCCTGTAATCCCAGCATTCCAGCAGTGGAGGCAGAGGAACAGTAATTAAAGGGCAGCTTCAGCTACATGAAATCTTGGCTCAAATAATCAGAACAAAGTAATTCATTCAGCACAACACTAAAATATCAAGCAAGTAGGAAAGAACCCAGCATATGGAATAACTCTGTATAAAAAACCCCACAAAATATAGAAGAAAACATGCAATAGCTAAGTAATCAAGTGATATAGTGTGCTTATAGATGAAACTATTACATAAAATTTCTATGTTTCTCAAACTGAACATATTCTCAGTTGTTGTTTATTAACATAATCTCAGATGTTCAATTTTACCAGTGAAGCCTTGGGAGCCAGATGCTGAGAGAGCCTGATAGCTCAGAGGCAGAGAGAGCACCCTCCTGACCTCCTTCCTTAGCTGATGCTCTACTTCAACTCAAAAACTCTTCAAACTCAATGTCCCTTCTACTTCCTGTCCGTCTCTTTATCTGTCCTCCTGACTTCCTCTTACTCTCTATGTTTTTTTTTTTTCCTATGTTCACCCCCTGTCAACTGGTTGCTTGTACTACCACTTGACCTATGGTTGACTTTATATAATCCTGTTTACAATAAACAGAAAGTTCTTGAATATGAGTGTTACAGCTGAGCTACAACACAACTAGAAACAGGTTTTTCCAGTAAATAACACAATCTCAGGGTTCATAGTGTAATCAAATTATCCTACAATGCCTAATACATTTTCCAACTATCCCTTTGTGTGTGTGTTGGGAGAGGGGGATGTTGAAAACTGCTAAACTACTTACAAAATGCAAAGGACAAAAATACTCATACTAATATTGAGAAATGAAAGAATGAATAAAGTAAGAGACACAATAAAGTATGAAACAATAAGCCTTGTGTGAAAACTAATCATTTAGGCAGCATGGTAGTGACAAGATCCACATACAGGAACAATGAGTTCAGAAACAGCCTCTTACATATGAACTGACACCCAGTCAGTTCATTATGATACAGATGAAATAGTCATTAGGTAAGGGAAGGATAGTGTTTCCAACAAATGGTGCAAAATCAATGAAACTTCCACACTAAAAAAAAAAACAAAACAGTAACAACTCTGACCCTTTGTAATGGTTTCTATAAGCTTGGACCAGAGTGGCACTATTAGAAAGTGTGGTCTTGTTGGAGTAGGTGTGTCACTGTGGGCGTGGGCTTTAAGACCCTTGTCCTAGCTGCCTGGAAGCTAGTCTTCTAGCAACCCTCAGATGAAGATGTAGAACTCTCAGCTTCTCCCGCACCATGCCTGCCTAGATGCTGCCATGTTCCCACCTTGATTATAATGGACTGAACCTCAGAATCTGTAAGCCAGCCTCAATTAAATATTATCCTTATAAGAGTTGTCTTGGTCTGGTCACTGTGTCTGTTCAAAGCAGTAAAACCCTAACTTAGACGCCCTTCCCTCACATCATAACCAAAGGTCTAAGTACTCCAAGAAGGCTGAAGATCTAATGGGATAGGGAAGTTACTGTGATGAATGAGTAGGCAAAGCACCCACTACACAAGGCTGAAGATCTGACTTCAATCCCTAAGGACCCATATGAGAATCAAAGGAGAGAACTTCATGAAGTTATCCTCTGGCCATCATACATGTGCTATGGCACATGCAAGTGCCTTTCCACCCCATCATGCATATAGTAATAACAATAATAACGATAATATTTAAAAAATAACAATGTAAAAGGGAAGCGTTGAAGCCCGCTTCTTTTAATATAACTGTAGCCATTTTGTATTCAGTCTCCGTTTTGCTCATAAAGTGAAATTAAGTTCAGGTTCTCAGACTTTACTTTCCAGGAGTAATTATTCATCTCTGACACTGAAAAATTCTCCTAAAAGGTCACAACACTATGGTTGTATTACTTATGCTTTGTCATCTGAATGCTCTGAAACTCCCCTGTTCACTACCCATCCACCATCCCTCTTCACTTACAACCAGTCAGCTTAAAAGTCAGCTGATAATACTTTGTCAAGTTAGCCAAAATGTAGCACTGCCTCCAACCTTCTGAATGGAATTTGTTTTGTCCTATAAGAAGCTTGCCCTAACAGACTGGTACCACAATTAGGCTCCCAAGTCCTTTTGTGTGGTCCTGATCAATTAGTCTTGGGATGTGTGTTCAATAAAATATTCTTGCTTAATCGAGATCAGTCTTGTATGGTCTGGGTGGCAATTCCTGAACCCCAACAGAAGATAATACACTTGTGGTAGGAAACAGAATAATAACCTTGTAAACAGTAAAGATCAATAAAGGGTCACAGAAAGTAGTAATCAGAACATTGGGAGGGAACACACACACACACACACACACACACACACACACACACACACTGGGCTTTATAAAGTATCCCAAGAAGACAAAAAAGAAAAGATGCAAGCCAGAGAGAAAACACTTGTTATACACAAAGTAAAAATTAATACTACTCAAAAGGACACATATGAAGAAATATTTAACTTCATTTGTCATCGGGGAAGTACAGATAAAAACTTGAATTTAACACCACTACACACTGAAGATATAGGATAGAAATGCTCACACACTGCTGCTAGGACCATACTCCAGAAATGATTTGGTAGTCTACACCAAATAGAATGTGGATTCATTCACCAAGCAGGAGATATCTATGTATCTGTATGTGGCGGCCTTATCTGTACCAGATCAAAGCTGGGAATGCAGCAGAATGGCGCTGCAGTGGAATACTACACAGCAATGAAGATGACTTACAGATACAATAGAGATAACTCCTACAAACATAATGCCGAGCAAAAGTCAGATTTTTAAAAGTACTTTTTGATCACTAGAGGAGTCACACAAAATTGATGTATGATGTTCTACGGTCAGAATCCTTGGGTAGGCAGGCATTGGGTGATGATCAGAAAGAAAGCTACAGGGATATCTGAGATCACTGGTAACTTTTTGTTTTTTTCCTTATGGTCTTCTGGATAAGGTCATATAATGCTGTACACGTGTGAAAACCTGCCTTTAATATGGATAAAATATTTCAAACAAAATCTCATTAAAGGACACAGTGAAATATTTTGTATGGCAAACAAATATACTTGATTGTGGTTTTCTGGTTTGTTTATTGAGACAGGGTCTAACTCTGTAGCCCAACCTGGCCTGGAAATCATTATGTAGCCCAGGCTGGCCTCAAACTTGTAGTGATTTTACTGCATTAGCCTCCCAAGCATTGGGATTACAGGTCTGCACCACCCTACCTGGCTATAAGTAGACAATTGAAACAATAAATGCACGACAGCCAATGTGTTCTTGAAACTATAACGGTATAAAATAATACAACTTACTACTTTAAAATACAGTAATAAAATGTACTGGTCTAAAACGGAAGCAATACAGATTGTAGATAAATCAATAGAACAAACTGGAATAAACAAAAAATTACATAAATGTCATGACCTAAGCGTTCTTCCCCTCTTGTGGTAAAGACAGTATTTCATATATGAATGCCTCTAATTATTAATGTTTTTACTGAAGCACAAAGTTTCCTCCTTAACCAAACTACTCAATAGATAATCACCACTGATGCTTCTTTAAGTTACTTTTTAATTTTCTGCTATGTATTGGAATAGTACACATGCATATACTTATGCAAACACAAGATCCTTACACCTAGGCAATTCATGTCTACATATACACTATGTAATAGACAGAGACTGTATATACTTAAACACATTAAACTTATGAGGTAGATGGAAAGATTTCAGTTACTGCTTTGGTCATTTCACATCTCTCAGCCTCAGTGTCTACTGTTTAATATGTCAGCTTTGAAACTGGGTATGATGTGATGACTTGTCACTAAGTCAATCAAAAAAGGAAAGAGACTTTAGACAAGAGAATAGCCAAAATGAGAGCTAATCTCACACATTAGGACAGTTAGTACACATGATGCTAAGGTGGAAAGAGTTAATCAGATTCGCTCAGCAAGAAAAAAGGCCAGAAGAAATGTAATTAAAAGTAGCAACTACTACAACCTATTTAGTTTATCTGCATTTGAGGACAGTTTCCTCAAGAGTCCTGAAGAGCCAGCCTTAACAAGACACCACACATAATTCCCATTTCCATCTCAGTAACACAGCTACAAGCTGACAGAGAACACTGACTATTTTATGAAGCCTGTGCTCTGAGCCAGTGTCAATCTAGCCCAGGTAACTAAAGGTTACTAAACTGAAGTATAAAGCAGAAGTCTATGAAATTCAGCAAAGCAGCACTACACATTATTTATGTCATTATCTCTCATTGTTTTTTTCTGTTTTTAGAATGTGAGTAAATAAATAAAACCACTCAAAGCCCAATCTACCATCTTCTAAGGCACAAACAATGTCAATACTTAACCAAGTTGTAAACAATTACCTGGCATATGGAAGAGGCGCAGGCTTGCATTGCTTACTGATCCTGTTTTTCTTGTTACTTGACAGGAGAAGAGAACTTTGATGGAACTATTTTTGAGTGAAACAAAGAAAATGGTAAGAAATTATCTATTGTATCAGATTTGTCATTAATAGCAAATTATACCAGGATACCAACAGAAACAGAACAAAAATTCTTGTACTATATATGTGTATTGCTGGAGAGTAACTCAGGACCCCAATCATGCCAGCTAACTATTCTACCACTGAACTACCCAGTCTTTACCTTAGGCGTTAATAGTTAAATAATTATAGTATAAAGATTAAAATATCTCGTCCTTCATCATACTTTCCAGTGATAATCACTCCTGATATTTTTGTTAAGTAACTCTTCAAAACTTTCTATAAATAGAAATACAAAGATACATATATACATACATACATACATACACACACGCACACATAAGACAATTATAACTATACATAACTTGTTCATGTCTACTACATATGTGTTATGTAGCATGGAAACACATTTGGAAGTCTATCAGTACAGATTAGTAATTAAAACAAAGACTGGTAAAATTATCTAATGAGAATGAGTATAGACAGAAAAGAGAAATCTAATACCTAAGTCTTGGGCATTCTGAAACTTAGCAGTTAGGGAAGAAATAAAAAAAACAAAAACAAACAAACAAACAAACACCAGGCTGAAAGAACAGGCAGAAAGGTGAGGAAAGATCTTAGAGAGAGCCCTAAGATCAGCCTAAGGACCAACAGCTGTCCCTGGGACCTTGTCATCCTAGTATCACTGATGACTTACAGAAACATCATAGTGATGTAGAAGTCTAGAGATGTCAATCAAAAGAAAGGAGAATGTGGGAATAAGTCTCTGAAAAAGTACAAATGAGACAGTAGCTGAAGAGAATGTGTTTTTGTTGGTGTTTTCAAGATGAATTATAATAAGCTTTTTGCATACTGATACAAAATAATCCAGAAAAGAAAAATATAATGATACAGGAGAGAAAGTACTCTACACTAACATCAAGGTAACAGCAAAAGACAGGAAATGGCTCAACATATGGGGAGTGAACCAAGTCCTGAGAATGTGTATTATTGACATGAGGGACAAGACCTCAGCCCACACGAATGGCTAGGCCTTTCTTAGGTCAGGCTCAGAAGAACAGCACAACTTTCCCCTGACTCATGTATGGATGATACTGACTCTTATCTATGTCTGTGACTTATTTTATGTCAATATTTTAAATGATCTAGAATTTATCTTACAGACTGGTATACAATAGGATCTGCCTATTTTTCACCCCAATAATTTTTCAATTCCATTTATTTTAAAATAAATTCTTTTCTAACTTGAAATGTTCCGTTCTACTAAGACTTTGTTTCTAAATCTTTTTGGTGAATCATGTTCCAAAGAGCAGTTTATTATTTTAAATCAAAATTAGATTTCAATGAAATAATTTCAATAACTAATTGTAAACATGATGCATTATACATGATTACTGTTATTTCTTTGCAAAGTTGAATGTCTTACCTTGACGCTACTCAATCTCAACTATCTTTAGTAATGCTAAAAAAAATGGCCCTACTCACGTGAATTCACTTACCTCAGAAAGACTGCTCATTTCAATTGCAGTTAACAAGTGACTGCTCACCTGTGATTCTATTTCTATAAGCTTCTTATTCTGTGCATGTAAAATAAAGACTTCTCTTAATTAAGGTTTAAAATTTGTTATGATGATACATTTATAGATAGCATCAGTGTAAGAAGACTCAAATTAAAAAAATCTTTTGATTCTATTCTTTTTTTTTTTTTTTTTGAGGTAAGTTCTCACACTGTAACCCAAGGTGGTCTAGAACCAATAGTGGAGACTGGCTTCCAGTTAGTGGCAAGCCTCCTGTCTCAGCTTCTAAACTACTGGGATTAGAGACATGAACTCAGGCCTGGTGACTGTTATCAACTGAGATCACATTAAGCTCAAAGCTACATTACTGTTCAGTCAGAACAGCCATGCACGCACAGATGCACCGAACATTTGACATTAGTTATCAATTTTCTGTTATTTTTCTGTTTTCACATAACCATATATCACATGGAAAATAAACACAGTAGGTCAGTAATATGAATTAAATCATCAAAGTATTACAGGTCATTTTTTCCATTTTAAATAAATTTCTACTCATTTTAGATCTAAACTACAAAGAAAGGACAACCTTCTCAATTCTATTTGGCTTGTAGACAATGAAATGCAAGATTAAAGGAGAACAGAAATATTGTGGGGACTCTTTCAATTATTTAGAGCAAGATTTAAGATGTCTATTCTATCACCAAGAAGTGTCTGTCCTTTAGCGCAGACACACACAGCATACTGACATTCAATAATTCTCGACAACTGAAACTTAAAAACATTTTTAGAGTTTCTATAGTAATATAGTTAAAAGATTCCATTTTAATGGTGAATCCAAAACAATACAATTTCCATACCAAATTATTTAGTTTTAAGCGAAGAAAGGTATTCTCAAAATTGAGTTTCTCTACTTCTTTCTGTAATTGCATCTTTTCGGTAGTAATTCTTCGAGAATTTTCTTTCTCTTTACTAAGGGCCCGAGCTAATGCTCTGTTGTTGTGCTTTAGAGAGATCTTGAAAATAGAAGAATTGTCTGCAAAAATATTTTTAAAAAGTTAACACTCAACTTATACCTTATATTTCTTTAATAAAATTTCACATTCCTTAGTAAAATTATTTCAGAAAAAAATGCAGTTTATAGATATCAAATGACAGTTGGAAATGAATAGAAATATAAATACAGTTTCAGAGAAAAAAAATGTTTCCAGATTTTTGAAGCTGAAGAAAGAAAAGCTAGATAGAAGACAAATGCTGAGAGGCATGCAGCTGGGAACAAGAGAGTGGAGCACTGCAGACAGAGCGGCCCCAGGTGGGCTGTGATCCTGGTGTTTGCCCCTTCCCACCAAGGTGGGAAGATGACCCCACAGCTCTCACTGGAGACCCACAGGAGGTAGGGCAGCCAATCTGAAATGTTTGCACAAGTTTCTGTGGCTCCACAACTCAACAAAATTGCCTATGCTTCCAAATACCATTTCTTAAACTTCAAATGAAAGGACTAATTGTCTAGGACCTGTGGGGTCTTCACCTCTACCCAAATGATTAGACCTTTATAGTAACTGACTGTAGTCTATGTCACTACAACTTAAATTGTTACTGAAACGGTAGCAAAGACATTTCGTTGAGGATTTAAAGATTAAACTCACCTTAAAAGTATTATGTTCCTTTAGCATGACTAAATCATAATTATATTTTCATAATTTGAATTTAGATTCTACTACATGCCAATAACATACTTACTCCACAGTAACATACACACATGCTTGAGACAGGATCTAGCTAATGTAGTCAGTCCTCTTGTCTTGGTCTCATGAGTGCTGAAATTATAGGCAGATGCTAACATAGTTTACTAAAATAAGTTTTGTTAAGTATAACCTTTTTAGATATTCAGAGAAACATTTTGGGCATCTTTAAAAATTCTTATAGGAGGGCAACGGCTGGACTATAAAAAATAAAAGTAATAATAATAATAATTAAAAAAAAGAAAGAAAGAAAGAATCCATAACAGGACATCATCTTTAGTACAGAGTAATTTCACTTGGCTCTCCTTGGCATACTCAATATGCAACCAGTTAGGACTTCCAGAAGCTAAAATAACAACATTTTCCTGCTGCTTTCCAAATGGTCCTGACAAATGAAGCAGGAGATAACCATTGCAGAAAGCTGGCTAATTCAGATTTACCTACAGATCCTGGTAGGAGCAATGTCCTGATTTACAGATACTTAGACATGTTGGCTCTGTCATGGGTGTTACATCAGCAGGCAGACAGTACATTCCCCAGGGTAGCTAACGTGGGCAGAAACCACTGAGATAATTTTTTGGGAGCAATAAAAGTTTATCCTGGGGAGTTTCTGAACTTCATGGGTTTTTATGTTGTTGTTTGAGGCGTTATTTGTTGTCTGTTTGCCTTCCTAACACCTTACTGCCAGGATTCATAAAATCTCATTTCCAAAGTTTGAAGTGCTTTCTTGGTGAACTCTGGCCTACATAAAATCACGTACTACCACACCTGATCTTGGCCAAACGCTTCTTCATGACTTGCCACCTGACTGCCACAGACTGCAGAGCAAATATTTTACTCTATTTAGCTCTTTTCTAGAGAAGCCATATTGGTATTGTGTTTGCACGCTAATAGGTAGCTGCCTGGGGGCAGGCCAGCAACACAGCTATCACCAAGGACAGATTAGTAAAACCACTCATCAGCATAGCTGAAAGCCACAGAAAAGATCAAACAGGAAAAGTACCAGCTAACAAAGTAGTCATTTTAGTAGTTTTCTATATTTGCTAAAAAATAAGGAAGGTACTTACTTAATATTTTTGTTTTGATCTTTGAAGCAAGAGAAACATTCAACTTTGTCTTTGCAATTCTGTCCTTCACTCGTCTCTTAATTCCAGAAGCAACAGAGTCGACTTCTATCCCTGCGTACTCCATTACTAAAGTGAAAGGAAAAGAAAGAATGGGGTAGGGGTGGGAGACTACAGTACTGATTAATAAGAGTGAAAACTGCAACGATCCATTCTAACGCGCAACCACCATGACTTAAAATACTGTCAAAGTACTTGCAAAGCCCTTTGCATAGAAATCTCAAAAAATGAATTTATATAATCAGGAGAATTAGTGAATTCCAAAAAGGTTGTTTTTCCATTCAAACCTGTATTACATCTACATGCCTAGCAGACACAATGGGCTACCAGCAGATGACATAGGGTCCCTGCTGTCATGGAAGAAAAAGTCCAGTGTGAGACAGACATAGTTCTGTTACTCTGCAAAAGTACAACCTTAGACAGGCAATCAGACCTTCATGGAAACACAAAAGAAACGGCTCATGAAAGGAGTGGAAGAGGGCTGGACGATGGGAAGTTATAAGCTTACTTAACATCTAGACTTATGATCTACACTGGTTAACAATGTAATAGAAACAGACAATATGACAAGAACAATGACCTTAACACACAAGATAAAAAAGCTTTACTGAGGTGCGGGTGATGATGCTGGGCTGTGTGCTTGAATGGGGTCAACGACACCTACATTCCCTCTACAAGCCACTCCACTACTTGCTTTGAGTCCACAAAACAATCTCAGTATTCTTTTCATGTCCATCAAAAAAATCCCTAGATTCCAACCATCTTTATCTTCCTCACCCTAACTGCCCTCTAATGCTTCACATTCTGTAAATGGTCGTCCTACAGTAGACTACAAAGTGACCTAGTCTGGTACCTGCAATTCTCAATCTATACACAGTCTTCAGATTTAGGGTAAGGATCCAGTGATGAGATTCTCATTTATATAGGCATCCCTAGTGCCATCACAAGCATCTTTACGGAGAAAGAGCAGAGATTCGGGCAATGCTGACAGACACAGTTTCTGTTAGTGCCTGACACATAGCAGCTCCTTGGATAAACATTTCTGATAGAAATAAATATGGACACATGAAAAAACTTTTCAGTAGAAAAAAATCTGCCCAGTGTTGAAATGGTCATGCTCGAAAGCATTGAGCAGATGTGGAAAGCTGTCAAATGACTGAGAAGATGAATTGAGGGGTGAATTTCTGCAACAGGGAGGAAGTTCACTAGGAAGGCAACATTAAAGTTCAGTTGTTCTGAAGTTTTGTCCAAGAAAATATAAAACTGCAGGGAAACAAGGAGGCTAACTGCAGACCTTCAACTTTCCCTCCAGTCCAATCCCCCAGTCTCATCCACAGCTCTCTAGCAGCCCTTCTGCTGTGACCTCTTCTCATCCTTTGACCCCATTTTCCAGGGGGAAAATAAACAGATCCTGATGAAACATTCTACTTCCCTCCCTCCTATGGACCCCTATGCCATCCCCGGCATATAGCACATTTCTATCCCGTAGTGTCACTCCCCAATACCCAGATCCAAGCCAAGGTCTTGGTTCTCTGATCTAAAAAGCTAGGCAGAGGCCCTAACCCTGGAGATAGCAGCCCTATTTACACGCAAGCAGGCGTTTCAGACTCGGTCACAAGGACCTAGATCCCTTTCCCTCCCGGGACTGACCTGAAAGCTAGAGGCGACCCCTCGCCCAGCTGGGAGCTCAAAGGCAGAACAGAGGTTACCGCCCCGATCCGAAGCCGACTCCGCGCTCAGGCTCCGCGTCCCGGCCCTGAGATCCGCCGCGCGGCAGCGAGGACTGAAGCACCAGGAGAAGCTGCCGAGAAGGGTTAGGGCCCCGCAGGCCTCGCTGGCCGCGCAGGCCGCGCCCGCGCAGACTGGAGACCCCTTCAGCTGTGGGTGCCCACACTTGCCTGAGGAGCTCGACAATCCGCCGCAGGATTCAGGTTTAAACTCCGCGACAGTTAGCGGTTGAAGCTCCAGCCAATCAAAATCCGAGAAGGCAGTGCAAATGCGCGCTGCTACCGGAAGTGGAAGACGGAAGGGGCGGGACGCGCTGAGAGAGTCGAGTGGGCGTGGCTCGGTGAGTCCAGTTCACTCCATCCTGCCTGAAAGGGTCTCGTTACGCTTCTGAACCTCTGGTAGCCATTTCCAGGAGCTCTGATGTAAAAGGTGATTCGCCACAGATAAGTCCGACACCCTAAAGGTTTACAGGCACTTCAAGTCTTTCGCAGGGCTTTGTGTTGTTCACTGTGAGATTACTTGCCTGCATCCAATTTCTACATCCTTGCCTTCCAATTGTGATCCTTGCTTCTTTACACTTCACTTAAAAGCCTTTCTCAATTTGGCACTTGGAAGAGCAGCAGCGATACTCCATTTTATCAGAGCACACAGAATGGCATTTTTAACTATCACAACTATATTTTAAAATGTGTTAGTCTCCTTATTTTTCAAGTCGGTTTGGTTCCTTTCACAAATGGTTAATAAAATATATGTAGAATTTCGAGAAAGTATTTTAAAAATGCTCTATTCCATCATATTAAAAACACAAATAGGGAGCTAAAGAGATGGCCCAGAGGTTATGAGCATTTGTTGCTCTTGCAAAGGAGCAAGATTTCATTCTCAGCATTCACATGGTGGCCCACAACCATCTGTAACCACAGTTCCGGGGGATCTGATGCTCTCTCCGGGCCTCTAGAGGCACCAGATATGCCTAAGGTGTACATACATACACGCGGGCAAAATATTTATAATCTTTAAAAAGAAGCCTCGTCTTAATTGAACATAATGTAATGAGGTCAACTTCATGTTTTGACATGGTTTTTGATTGACCTTTGAGCATTATGACTTTGCATCATAAAGAATTTAAAGTGATGGAAAGGTACTTGCTTTATACTTTGTTTTTTGGGGGTAAAGGGAGGTAAATATACATCTATAAAAATAAATTTACAGGATAAATGCAAAGAAAAATTCTAAAACCATGAAAACACTTGACCAAATTTTGAGATAACAGTGGACAAAGAAAGCCTAGATATAAAAAAGGAAACTTTAAATCTTTACATTAATCATTCTTTAAATTTTTAAAAAATTGGTCTCATTGCACGTAGTGGCAGGCTTCCTAATGACGTATTCGGGTATATCATGCGTTTCGGCTGGATTCAAATCGCAGCCCATTAGCTTTAGTTTCCCCTTCTTTCCATCTCCTTTTTTTGCATTCTCCCTTCCCCTAGTCTTCCATATGATTTCATGTCATGTATGTGTGTGTAAATGATTTATGTATCCATAAAGAATTCTAGTACCTACACATGAGAAAAAAGGGTGATTTGCCTTTCTATGTCTGACTCCTTTTTAACATGCTTATCTCTAGTTGGGTTCATTTTAGGAAAACATGGGAGAAACATTTCAAGTTCTTGCATAGGCAAGAACTTTCTAAAAAGGTTTCCAGTGGCTCAGGAAGAACACTAAGAATGGACTCAGGATTGCATGATGTTAAAAGGCTGCTGCACAGCAGAGGAGGTTACTGAATGAAGAGACAGCATCAGCATGGACAATGGAAATTCTCTGCTGGCTGCGCGTGTCTGACATAGGTTAATATCTAGGAGATATGAAAAATTTAAAAAAAACAATAACAATAAAAGCCAAAGGGACTAACCAATAACTAGCAAAATGCATGGATAGTTCTCAAAAAGATGTCAGTGAGGTGGTTCAGTGGTTAAAGTTGCTTACTTCCAGACTTGATCCCCGAGTTCAATTCCTGGGCCTCAGATGGTGGAAGGAGAGAATCCACTCAATAAACAAGTATGTACATATACCCTCTATTAAGATCTAGGTAATATATTAAGGCCTAGGTAACTGTTACCTGGCTAGCCTGCCATTTTGTGCTGTTGGTAATAATAGAAGGAAACTCTCTCATATGTTCTTCTGCTGTAATTAGGAAACTTTCTCATGCTCAAGTTGATTGCATATTCTGCTATAGTCTGTGCTCTTGGAAACCAATCACAATAGAAGCCAATTAGGGCTATTTTGTATAGTGACCCACAATAAGCTTGGATCCAAACCAACCCCCCAACAGCACTTCCTGCACCTGTGTATAAGCTTTTATGGTATTTGCTTCTATAAGCTGCTCCTGGGATAGATCTCAACATAACAGAGACACCTGAACCAATATATGAAACTATTTGGAATAAGATTTCCATTTTGAGTAGAAGTCTAGGAAAGTGTAAGTTCTCAAGACCTCCCTGGGAACTGTCGTCCTAATTGACATGAATGTTAGACAAATACCATCTTGGTAAACAAGTTAAGACATGAGTATTAGACAAGGCAAGTCCCCTGCTACAGCTGAATACCCCAACCAATGGGAGCAGGACAAGTGTACAACAAAGACATGCTCCTAAGGAAGTTCCCTATCCCTAAACCCTGATTGGTGGAATAACTTGGCACATATGTTTGTGGATCGCAGGCTTAAAAAGACCGATAGGACCTTGACGCAACCCCACTGTCATCTCCTGATTCTTACCTATGGCCCTAATTGATCAGTGTTGGAGTGTGGCGTTCAATAAACCATCCTTGTTTGACTGAGATTGGTGTTTGAGTGGTTTGTTCAGCGATTCCCAGACCCCAACACACTCCAAGTCTTTGACATGTCCTCTAGCCTGCCCCGAGTTCCCTCTTCCCTTCTTAAAACAATAAAGCATAAATAGCCATCAGTCTGAAAACAGGTCAATATCATCAGACATTAGGGGAAAATAAACTACAACTGTATTAAGATTACATCTTCCCCCAGTCAGAATGGCTATCATTTAAAAAAAACGTGATAAGAATAAAAACTCCTTATACATTGTTCATAGAAATGCAAATTGATCTAAACCTGAAAAGAGAAGTTCATATGACCCAGAAGTTATACCACTTCAGGTTATATATAAACCCTAAGAACTCTAATGTTTAGTAGTTAACTAACCAGTATCTAGTTTATCTAACCTAATTCATTAATATTCAGCACATGCTATAGGTTTCCTTTTTTCATACTTGATGTAATTACAAATTGACTAACCTTACAGAGCTATTGAGAGCCACATCTGGATTCCAAAACCAAATATGCATGACCTCAATGTGGGTCTCACACTAAACATAGAGCCTGCATTGGTTTTCAAAACCAGAAATGACTCCTCTTCCTATGCAAGTCCACCTTTCAGCCATCACTTCCACATACTTGTCTGAAGGCTCATACTTGATTAAGCAGCATGCTTTCATTTCAATGAAAACAGTTTACCCTTTTTAAAATATTAAAAGTGTGGGGTATCATGACTAACACAGTTTTTATTGCTCCACTTTTTAGTTGAGGCCAGCCTAAACTCACTATGTAGCTCCAGGAGGGTCTGTTTTGTAGCAATTCTTCTGCTTCAGCCTCCCATATGCTGGGCTCACAGGCATGAGCTACCACCCGTAAGAACTCCTGTAAAAATGTGGACTGGCTCACAGAGTTCATGCCATCCTTGGATGGTGCCATGCTAATCTCTGTATCCTTCCAATTTTAGTGCGTGTGCTGCTGAGGTGAGCACCATTACATGTTTCTTAAAAGAAAGTGGCCCTTGCTCTACCATTTACTGGTCACTTAATTTTGACCAAGGCATTTTATCTCTGTTTTGTTTCCTCCTTTATTAAATGGAGGCTGATTACAATATCCAAAACATTTTTAAGATGGTTCTGAACAACAGATTCCTTTGTTCAGATATTACTTTCTTCTGTGATGGTTAACATTATATTTAAATTTAAACTTACTATGCTTGAGAAATCAAAAAGCAAAAATGCATCAAATATGTAAGCCCCTAGCTTGAACTGTGGAGCCCAGTGGCTACACTACCAGCACCCATGAAGGAAGCTCTCGGAGGGCAATCACTGCAATTCCAAGAAGATTTTATTGGTCCAATGCATCGGGGGCTGCTTGCTCACACAGGAGAAGAAGCGGCTGTGAATGCACTCGGGCAGAAGCCTATATACAGTTTGAACAGGGCAGGTGTTTTTGAAAATAGACTGGTCAGTTGGTGTTGTTGGGCTGTGGGAGACCCTCTAACAGGGAGCTATCTGTTTTCAGAGGGCTCCATGTCTGATAACCCATGGTTTTTCTTAGAACCATATGTCTTCACTCTTTTTGGAAAGAGAGGGATCCTGTGGTTTTTCTTGGGACCCTGTGGCCTCACCCTTTTGGGAAGGGAGGGAGTTAGGGGGTAATTATCCATGGACTTTACATTCCCCCCTTTTTCTTGTACATAGCTCCAATCTTGGAGGTAGAAGCTAGTTAACTGAAATCTTCTGCCTGGTTGTCAGTGCCTAGATGTTGATACTGCTGATGTAGGACCATCAGCTGGATGGCACCTATGTGTTCCTTAATATAGGCTATCAATCAATTTAAATGCAAGGGCCAAAGGTTAGCAATGAAAGTAAAATTATCAGGGATCCTAGCAGGGTGGAAACCAGAGTGGTGTACCAGGTGAGCTGTGGTACCATGTTTCAAACCAGCTCTGGGTTTGTTCTCTTTCTCTCTCTCTCTTAGCTAGTCCCTCTCTGACCTTAGCCATAGAATCCCTGACCACTCCTGGGTGATGTGCATAGAAACAGCATTCTTCTTTAAGGGCTACACAGAGTCCCCCCTGTTGGAGAAACAAGATCTAATCCACACCTGTTTTGTAACACTATATAGTGGGGAGAATTTTCCCCGGAAAGTTGAGAGGAGCTAAAGTGGGAGGTGAAAGGAGAGGAAGAGAAGGAGTAAGGAGAGGAAAAGGAAGGGAGGAAGAAGTGAGAGGGACTGATGAGAGAGGGGGAACATGGAAGCAGATGTGCACGTGTCTCTAGTAGTCAAAGGTAGTTGGTATATCTAGGTTGGGTATTGGGTTACACCTCTGATTGTGTGGGCATCTTGTTATTGAGCATTACCAAACATATAAAGTGTTTGGATAATCTATAAAAAAAAATGCAACTTTTACTCTCAGGTGAAATAGACTGGTAGGAAATGAGGCTCTAAAGCTTAAATATTAATCAAAGGCTTTATATATTTGGTAATGCTCAATAACAAGATGCCCACATAATTACAGATGTTTCCCAGTTAACTAACCTAGATAAGTTGTTACCCAGGACTGTTCTCCATACCTGCATGGTTCTTCATCCTCCTACATCTCTCTCTCTTCCTTGCCTAGCTCCTCCTCTTCCTTTTCCTCTTCCTCTCCCTACTCCTCCCACCTTAGTTCCTCCTACAACTCTACTTCAGGAAGGGAGATCAGTGACTCTTGGAGGTGGGTGATTGATTCTTAAAGCTTTTCTATGTCTAAATCTATGGCAGCCCTGAGCTCTTGATAATTTTTTTCTTGTAACACCAGGGAGGTGGCTCCCATTGCCGCTCCTGCAGCACTTAAACCTAATAGGAGGGAGACTACTAGGGCGGCAATGGGCTCCCACTTGGCATGATAGCTACCATCCCACCTGCCTAACATTTCTTCATCAGAATGATAAAGTAGCTTGGGCACCAGTTGTACCAGGATGCAAAAAACTTTAGATAAATTTAGAACTGTGAGGTGGACCCAGGGGGTCAGTCCAGTGGAGCAGGCCCACCACCAGTTCTCAGGTGGGACTATGTAAGAAGCAGTTAAGGAAGAGGAATAGGTCTCCTTACAGAGAAACTCATGTATAGAAGGGACTTGACCAAGGCAGAGTCCTGTACCTTTTACTTCTTGTAGGGTTAGTCTTATTCCTGATTTTTGGGCCCAATGACAGAATGAGGATTTATTGGATAAACTAACAGTGGGGGAGGTAAAAGCAATCCCCTCCTAATAGTGGGGAGCTACATCATAGCAGAGCCAGCAGGATCGAGTCTTTTCAGGTCTAGACTCATTGAGCACTGAAAAGGTTATATTAATCAGTCCTGTCAGTGGGGCTAGTTCAGAGGGCTTGAGAGGAGGTTCCCCCTGGCTGTTGGGGTTCTATCGTAACTGGCCTTCTCTGGGTAGATGCTGGGGCTTTAGGTTGGGGTAGCTGATGGGAGACCCCCATGGCCTCTTTTTTTTTGATTGGGCCCAATGGGGGTAGTAGGAGTCTCTACCTTAAGCTTGACTGTAAAAAGGAGTCCCTTATCATGTCCAGACATGTATATCTGGAGTCCCTGTGTTTTTCCTTTTAACCAGTTTTCTCTGACCTTTTTTCCTTTCTGAGTAAACTGAACCTGTACAGAGTTACAGATTTCTGAGCTCTCACAGGGAGATGCTTGTACCTGTTTATAACTAGCACAACTGGGGAAAATAGAAGAGTTTCTATTGACAGTAATTAAGTCCCAGGAAGAGGATGGTTTCCAAAGGGCCTGTCCAGTGGTCTCACATCCCCAAGCCTTGCAATAGAATTGGTCTGCTCCCCAACCCATCTAAACTTTTCTGACCTACTGTTGGGGGGATCCCTGGGGCAGACATAGAAATCACTAGTCAGTAGGGCACAGAGGGAAAACTTGTTACCACATCCCATCATGGCATCCTGAGCTCATTGTGAGTTGTCATGTAAGGGGAGGTTGGACATATGGCGAGTGAGGATATCCCAAGAGTCCAGTCCAGCAGCCAGCTGGCAAAGGTCAAACACCAGATCTGGCCACCAAGTATAAGGGGGGTGACGTTGAGACACCCTGGCTATTTCATTGGCAGTCAGGGTCAATGATACGAGCCAAGTTAGTTTTAGTGGGTTGATGTGGGCTGGGCCTGGTGACCAATCTTGACTGGTGTAGTAGGATTAGGCCTCCTACCAGGGTTAGGAGGATCTTCATTCTTGCTGGTCTGTTTAGTGGTCTTGAGCTTTAAGGGATGGTCTGTCTTCTTTATGCTCCAAGATAGTTGATCCTAAGGGGGTGGACAGGTCACTGGTTTCACATGGGAAGCATGTATCTAGGCAGCTATGCTATCTACCTTGATGACTGTGGGAGTCATCAGCAGCACCAGATAGGGGCCCTTCTAGTGAGGTTCCAGGGACTGGGTCTTATGTCTGTGGACATAGACGGCTTCACCGACCTGGAACCGGTGTGGTACTTCAGTTGTTCCTAGGGCATAAAGGGCAGATAACTGGGACCGTATTTCCCTCTGGATTGTCTCAAGGGCCATCTGTCTCTTTATAAGCTCATGGTCACCTCACTCTGAAATTTTAAGGTCAGGACCCGAGACCACAAGATAAGTGGGTCTTCCATAGAGGATTTCAAAAGGAGTCAAATTCATCTGGTAGTGGGTGTTCCTAGGCCAAGGGAAGGAGTACCACCCAGTCACCGCCAGTCTCAAAGGTTAATTTAGTTAATGTCTCTTTTAAGGTTCTATTTATTCTTTCTACCTGTCCTGAGCTCTGGGGACAATATACACAATGAAGTTTTTAATTGGTCTCTAAGACCGGTTCGAGACTCTGACTTACCTAGGACACAAAGGCAGGCCCATTATCTGAACCTATTACCTTGGGTGCTCCAAATCTGGGGAAGATTTTTTTTTCCAGGATCTTTTTGGCTATGACCGAAGCTGTCTCTTGTTTTGTGGGGAAGGCCTCTATGCATCCTGAGAAGGTATCTATGAAAACTAGCAAATACTTATACCCATATTTTCCAGGTTTGATTTCTGTAAAGTCTACTTCCCAAAACTTGCTTGGTCTGTTTCCCCTAGGTCTCTTTCCTATGCCAACCTTGGTGCGATAGGTATTCACCTGTTGACAGACTCTGCAGTTGTCTACTACCTCCTCTGCTAGGTATCATAAGTCCATGATAAACATTTTAGATCTCTTAATGGCTTCAACCAATTTTTTGTTGCCTATGTGAGTTCGTTTATGCATTTGTTGTAGGAGGTCTCGGGTATGATCCCGAGGTAGTATAACTTTTCCCTCTTGGGTTTTCCATTGGCCCTCACCTTTGAGATAGTAATTGGTGGAGTAACTGGATATCTGGGCCTCTTCCTCCCTGATGTAGTACAAATGAAGCCAACCCTTAGTCCAATGCCACTCTTTGGCTTCTTGGACTAGCACGGGCACAGGGTCTCCAAGGGCCACCTGTTTGGCTGTCTTATCTGCCAGGTTGTTTCCCTTGGCTATGAGGCTTTCTCCTTTTTGGTGGCCTGGGCAGTGAGTAACGCTTACCTTGGCCGATCTGAGAAGAGCACTTAAGAGAGCCTGAATTTTAGTTTTATTCTTGATCTCTTTTCCACTTGATGTCAGAAATCCTCTTTGTTGACAAATTGTTCCATGTACATGGATGGTGGCAAAAGCATACCTGCTGTCTGTATAAATGTTGACCTTTTCCCCTGTCCCCATGTCTAGGGCTTTGGTTAGGGCTATCAGTTCTGCCCTTTGAGCGACATTCCTGATGGGAGTGGTTCTGCCCAGACTACTTGTTGCCTGTCTACCACAGCTGCTCCTGCCCTGTACTATTTGTCCTGTAGGTAGCTGCTGCCATCAGTGAACCAGGTGACTCCAGTGTCGGGGAGTGGCTTGTCAGTTAAATCTTTTCTCCAGCCTTGGTCCTCTGCCAGAATCTGCGTGCAGTCATGGGCGGGTGGCTCAC